TTGATTATCATATTTCAGGTGCTTGAGGTTTGTTGAGTTTCTTGGATGTATGAGTTTATAACTTTCATCAAATATAAAAGCTTTTCTACCATTCTTCACATTTTTCTTGTTCTCCCTCTGCACTACAGTGACTCCAGTTATACTTTTGTAAGGCTGCTTGAGGTGCACTGTTCAAAAAAAAACTTTTTTTTTCATCTATGTGGTTGCAAGTTTATTAATCTTTTCTTTACAATCTAATGTGCCATTCATCCCATTCATTGTACTTTATATAGCAGGTATTGTTTTCATTTCTGATAGATTTTTTTAAGATTTATTTATTTATACAAGAACCGGGGTACAGGCCAGATGCGAGGGAGGGTGAGAGGATTCACCAGAGACAGAGTGGGTAACATAACAGGCAGACTGACGAAATACACTGTTGAGGGGAGCAGCAGGCGAGACAGGAGAGGTCTGCCATGCCATGAGGGACCCCTCACCGGCCAGCTGGCCGGGATCAAACCCACGTTGCAGAGGCTGTGGACAGTCTCACAGCGCTGCGCTCAACTGCCTGCGCCACCAGGGGAGGCCCTCTGGTAGATTTTTTTTTTTAATACCCTGCTTATATGCTTAATCTTTGCTGTATCTTTATAAACATGAAATGTAAGTAAGTGTTTAAATCTTTTTTCTTTTAATTCTCTTATTGTGTATTACTGAGTTGGTTTTGATTGATTTTTCTCCCCATTAACGGTCCCTTTTTTGCATGCCTGTTAATTTTTGATTGGATACCAAAAGTTGTGGATTTCACACCTTTTTATGTGCTGCATATGTTTGTGTCTCTTACAAATACTCTTTTTTTTTTAAAAAAAAAGATTTATTTATACAAGAACTGGGGTACAGGCCAGAGGCACGGGAGGGTGAGAAAATTCACCAGAGACAGAGCGGGGAGCAGAACAGGCAGACGACTGAAAACATTGCTGAGGGGAGCAGCAGGCGAGACAGGAGAGGTCTGCGCGCCATATGGGACCCTCGCTGGCAGCCTGGGATTAAACTCATGCTGCAGAGGCTGTGGATTGCTTCATAGTGCGCCACCAGGGAGGCCCTTACAAATGTTCTTTTTTTTTTTTTTTTTTTTTAAGATTTATTTATTTATACAAGCACTGGGTACAGTCAAGCGCGGGAGGGTGAGAGAATTCACCAGAGCCAGAGCAGGGAACAGAGCAGGCAGACTGACGAAATACACTGCTGAGGGGAGGAGCAGGCGCGGCAGGAGAGGTCTGTTGGGCCATATGGGACCCTCGCTGGCGGCCAGGGATCGAACTGGCACTGCAGAGGCTGCGGGCAGCTTTGCAGTCCAGCGCTCAACTGCTGCGCCACCAGGGGAGGCCCCTTACAAATGTTATTATAAATATTCAGCTGTGTTCTGGGACACCTTTATGTAACTTGGAAGTTGTTTGAAGCTTTGAGGGCTTTTTGTCTGAGCTGTTATGTAGCATCAGAATAGAATTTCATCTAGGGTTAATTTTGCCTCTGTCCTGGGTCTAAAACTTGGTGTACTCTAATAAATTACCTTGAACTTTGAGATTTCCCACTATGCCTGGTGGGAGCAGGAACTCTTTCTGTCCCTATTAGACTTTTGGTATTGTTGCCTCTAATCCAGGGTGTGTAAATTTCAGCGCTATTGACATCTAGACTCAGTCCTTTAGGGGCCTAGTCCTTTGCATTCTAGAATGTTTAGCAGCATCTCTGACTTCTGGTCACTCAATGCTTGTAGCACCCTGCGCCCCCCCTCCGCCCCTAAATTTTGACAACCCAAAATGTCCCCAGACATTGCTAAATGTCATCCGGAGACAAAAATCAATCTGGTTGAGGACCATCACTATAATTTTTTTCAGATGATTCTTTTCCTATGTTCAGAGATCACTGTTTGTGATGATTAGTACATAAAGGAGACCCCGTATAGGTTTCCAGAACATGCCACATCCTAGAGTAGTGCACTCTCCTGCTCAGCAAACTCCAGCCACATTTTCCAGACTGCCAGCTCAGTCTCCTTAAGATAACCACCAGATAGTAAGGTATGTTAGTCATATGTATCACCTCCTTTGTTTTCTCTCTCTCAGGTGTCTTTTGTTACCTGATGTCTTTGCTCTTGAAAAAATGTTGTTTCATGTTTTTGTTTTTTTTTTTGTCTTACGTGGAAAGTCGTCTGGTCCTTTTTGTTCTATCTTGACTTAAAGCTGAAGTCTCAACAATTAATCTTTTACTTTGGAGGAGATGTCCTGAGATACCCCTAACCATTCCACCCCGAAGAACATGGTAGTGGTAAAGTGGTAGTTGAATTTTCATGAAGTTTTATCTCCCACTTCCTGGAGTATATGTGTGTTACTAAGACTGCAGGTACCAGCCTGCAGGTACCATTCTGTCTTGTCAGCAGTCAGCAAGATATCAGCTATATGATGAGTCAGAAGGTTTAGATGTCTTCAGATTGTGAGAGTTAAAATAGCCCAAAGAGGAAATTATAAGTTAATATTGTCCTATATGAATGCAAAATGTTTTTGATCCTCTTTTATAATTGGAATGGAAAAGAACACAGTCACCACCTAGGCTTAATTAAATCAGCCCAGCTATATGTCTGAGACTACAGCTGTGACCAGGGCTAGAATTTGGTTAAGTCTTTTGGAGCCTTCCATTATTTTTTAGGATTCACCTGCTTTCTGTGTATCATGGGATAGCAGACGTCATCCTCTTTACTGGTGGGCCTCATCTTCACTATTCTTCACCCCTCTGAAAGCAGTAGCGTCTTGTATTTACTGTCTTGTTCTACGAAAGGGGACGTTTTCGGATGATTGCACTTGGCTTTTACCACATAGGTCATCGACCCATTGTGGGGGGTTTTTAACTGCCAATTATAAATTCTGTTTCTTAATTTAGGGAGTGAATGGAGACTGTTAGGTGGTCTGAGGTCCAGCCAATCCAGTATAAGCCACATTTTCTGCAGGACTTTTATTTTCTCCATACAGAAGGTTTTGACTGAGAGTTTCTTCACAGAACCTTAATTAGAATTAATTCAGGTGTAAATTTTTTTTTTTAAATAAATCTTTATTTTATTTTTTTTTTTAAGATTTATTTGTTTTTTTTATTATTTATACAAGCACTGGGTACAGTCAGAAGCGCGGGAGGGCGAGAGAATTCACCAGAGCCAGAGCGGGGAGCAGAGCAGGCAGAAGGACCGAAGTACACTGCTGAGGGGAGCAGTGGGCGGCAGGAGAGGTCCGCGCGCCATGTGGGACCCTCCTCCAGTGGCCGGGGAGCAGCCGGGGATCGAACCTGCGCTGCAGAGGCCGCGGGCAGCTTCGCAACCCAGCGCTCAACCGCTGCGCCACCGGGGAGGCCCAGGTGTAAATTTTTTTAAGAAGACATAACTTGCATACCATCTTGCCTCTCTGTGTATTTAGCTTGGGCTTCCTTAAAACATTTGAGGTCTCAGGGTACTTGAATGTTGGAAGTTAAACTCACTTCTGCCCACTCCCCCCCCCTTTTTTTTGGCCAGAACAAGTCACAAGACCAATTGTACCCATGGGGAGGTGGGGAGGTGTGCAGATTCCAATTTTTCATGGGGGAGTGGTAAGATCCCTTTGATAAGAGAGCATGTGGACTAAGAAATGTTGTAGCCACCTTTGAAGCTACAGTCTGCCATATCACTATGCAATCTGCTATCATCTAGAATTTTATAGAACTTTCTCATTTGTTGCGGTTTTCTATTTTAATCTTTTTGTCCTTTTTTTTTTTTAAGATTTATTTATGCATACAAGAACGGGTACAGGCCAGAGGTGGGGGCGGGGGAGAGGATTCATCAGAGACAGATTTGGGAACAGAACAGGACGAATGACTGCCATGTGGGTAGCTCCCTTGCTGGGAATCGAACTCATACTGCAGTGGCTACAGATAGCTTCATAGGTTGCGTCTTAACCCCTTGCTCCACCAGGGAGGACCTTTTTTGTCCCTTTTTTAATACTTAAGAAAATCTTTTTCACTATCATTTTAGCTAAGATTTGGCAGCTGTGAATGGTTGTTGACAACTCCATCATGGTTAATTGTAATCTTTGGAATCAAGGTATACTGCTTTTTTTAATCCCTTAACAGCTTCCTGTCTTTCAAGCTTATTAGAAAACAAGTTGTCTTTGGTATCTTTTCTTTCTGTTGTGGCATCTGGTTATTCTTTTGGCCAGTTGCATTTCAAAACAAGAAGGCAGTATTTGGGAGCAGTCTGCTGTGGTATAAAGGCATTATTCCTTTTAAGAGAACAAGGAGGTACGTTGTATATAGAGAATTTGTTTATAAACTTATACTGTGCACCAACATTTGCATAACACCACATTTGACTGCTACCATATTCTCCTCTTGCTATGATACTGCTCTTAGCTGAGGTTGTATACTGTGTCATCCTGTGAGTTTTTAATATCTTGTTATCTGAATGAGGACCAAAGAAAATTTCCTTACCTCTTACACAGAGGCCAATAGCATTGTCCCACTGGACACACTTTTTGTTTGTAGATTAAGAAAGGTTTTTGAAGAAAGTTATGTTTTAAGAGGAATAGTTATATGCAATGTCATCTCTAGAGGTGGTCAACCAGGACACACAAAGATCTGGAGCCTGCAAATGCAGACACTAATCTGGAGGGGGAAAACCCAACAAAACCAAAAAAAAAGACAGCATAACAGGAAGTCACTGAAGAAGAAAAGTTACATCTGTTTAAGAATGAAATCGATTTTGATGTGGAATAATGAGGTTTTGATTCCTGACATTGATTGTGTGGAGGCTATTGACCATGCTGATGCCTTTTGGGGAAATAATGTTTGGATTGAGGGAGCTCTTTGCCTTTGAGGTCGTAATTCAGAGATTTTATGATACTTACATAGTTAACAGTCCTGTCATAAATTTTGTTAGCTTAAATTCAGAATTGTGGGATGTCATTATATTAAGTATATTTGAAAAGTGATCTAAAATATTTTTTGTTCTACAGGACTTAAACATTATTTACGCTTACCTTCATGGAATGGAAATATTATCAAATCTCAGGGAACATCAACTTAGGTAAGTGTGATGCTGTGTTAAGAGCATGCTATGGCATTATTCAAATGAGGTCGTGTAGCTAGTTGCAGAGGATAAATCATTTAGGGGGATTTGTAAGATAGTCATAGGAATTTGCATTTTGCTCAATTTTTTTTTTTTTAACCATGATACCTTAGCAAATCTTAACATCTAAGCGCAGTACTGTCTTCCATAAAATAAGGATAAAATTATCTTTTTAACAGTATTTTAAGGATTAAATGAGAATAACTTTTTAAAGCAAAGCACAGTGCTCAGTATGTTAGCCAGTTAAAACAAGCTATTTTCTTTTTTAAAGATGGGCATAGAATGATTTAATGTTGTATTTAAAGTGGAAAGAGTAGGGCGTATGATTTGTTGTATCTCCTATGGATAAGATCCAGAAATTTTCTAAACCTTACTATCCTATTCTGTAAAATGAGTTTTCTCTCCTCCTACCTTATGTCATTTTGATTATATTTGTGTAAAAAGACTTCTGAGTAAAGTAAAACACCAATTACTGTAACTTCACATAAAAATTTAATTAAAATGTGTTTTTCCTCTATAACCAGTTTATTCCTCACTTTTTACTGTTCTTTAAGTTTCTGATTGTAGATCAGATTGCTAAATTATACTTGCATGTGATTTATTTTCTATTTTCTGTATAGCATAATTCAAATGTTAGTATATCTCAAGAAGAGAGATGAAAACTGAAAGTAGAACCTTTAATAATACTGAAAGTATTTTTTAAATGCAAACAATTTTATACATTTAACAGATTTATGTGTGTATATATACTTCTGCCAGTAACTGTTCTTCACATATGGATTCAGTAGTGAATCAAACAAATGTATTTTTTTTTTCATAAAAATGTTATTTAGTATGAATTGGCAGGTTATAGAATTACATGAGTATTATACTTGTTGCCACTTGATGTTATCTAATTGCTTTTTTTGAAAATATTGCATTTAAATGTATATATTTCTAAACTTGTAGATTAATGAAAGTGATAAATCTTACCCTTTTGTTGAGGTAATTATAAGATTTTTTGAAACTGTTTAATTTTTTTTTAATAGATTAATGTCTGCAAGAGCACGCTATGAGAGATACAGTGGCAATCAAATTCTTTTTTGGTAAGTATTTCCATAGTTAAATTAATTGCTTTAATGTTTAAACTTTAGCAGTAAAATTCATTTAATTTTGGAACAATATCTGTAGAGCAAATCGAAATATATTTATAAACTATGAAATATATAGGGAGCATAGAAGAGACATACAGTGCGACAAAGTTGAATATATATGTTTCTGTAACTACTACCCAGATGAATGTGTAGAACATGTCAGCTTTTGAGAAGGCTCAGGTCTACTCTCTTTTGGAAAGGTTATCACAGTTTTGAGTAATTTTACCACTTTTTGAATTTCATAGATACTTTGGTCAGACTTAAAATTCACACATGTCCACGCTTCTCTCATACTTGTGCATTCATTCTGCTTCACTGCTTTATAGTATATAATTGTGTGAAAATAACTGTGTTTTCCTCTGTTAACAGACATTTGAATTATTTGCATTTTTGTTGCTATCAGGAGTAGTAAAGTTCCTGGCACCTTTTTGTTCATGTCTTTCATGCCTGTATATACTCATGCCTGTTGGGCATATTCGTTGGAATAAAGTTATTGGAAATACATGTTCAAATTTAGGAGAGTCTAACTAGAATCCAATGTATATTTCTTTTATCTTATCATTTTGCATTTCTTTACTAATGATGAATGGTTTTCATAAGCTATTTGGATAGTACTTAATGAAATTGTGATTCAAGTTTTGTTTGGGTTTTCTATCTTCTTTCTATTGCTCTCTTACACATTTTCTATCTAACTCTTTTGTTAGATATATATGTTGCAAATATTCTCCTACCTTTTATGGTTTGCCTTTTCACTCCATAAACTTTTGAAGAAGAGAAATTTTTAGCTTTCTGTTTTTCTGCTCTTCATGGCTGGTACAAAAAAATAAAATCTTCCCTTCCTCCTGATTATGAATATATTCTCTGTTTTTCTTCTAAAATTTTGGTGAATGTATCTAGGATTGGTACTGGCTTTGCATATTTTTAAAATATTTGCTGGGTTCATGTAGATTTTGGTAGCTGTATTATTTACTGATCTGTATATAAGCTGTACTTATGCTCACCCTCTGTAGAATGGATGGAAAGCAGAACAATATTTGTCCTAATTGAGCATATCATATAGTTAAAATACTTAAACATATTTAAGTGCTATCAGTGAATTACACACTTAAAAATGGGTGAATTTGTGATCTGGATATTATACCTCACTAAAGCTGTTTAAAACATTTATTCTATAAAATCTATATCTTGTTGGTCATAAGCAAGAGTTTTTTTAAAAAGAATGTGAAGCCAAGTAAAGAATTTAAATTCCTGGATTATGAAGGCAGAGAGAAGAGTGTAGTTGACCTTAATAGAAAAAGTGAAAATAAACCACTGTGTTCAAATTCTGGAGCAAAGAAGAGTAAACAGCAGAGAGGAATCTTGAGAGTCAAATGGAAGCAAGCATAAGAGTTTTTGATCTCTTTAGGAGCTTTGGGAAGCCTTTGAAGAAGTAAGATTCTGCAAGATTAAGTATGGCTCCCTTTTCTGAGCCAGATTATTCTTGGATTCATTTACTTGCAGAGAAAGGAAATAGTGTGGCCCCACATAAAAGGGTTTCACGTTCCTTGTGTTTACTTATCAAATGCATTGCCAAGATTCAAATAATTTCCGATAGATGAACTAGCATGTCTTTCTTGCTGATGGGAGTGAGCTTTAGAATTTTCCCTGCATTTATGGTAGAATTTTCAGACAGCTTTGTGATTGCTTCAACTAATTATGATAAAAATTGGAGGCTTGTTATAACTTCCAGTTGAAACTTATTTCTGTCTTAATTTTGGACAAATTTTACTTTCATTGTTTTTAATTCCTTGATATTGTAAAATTACATTTCAAAAGATAAGGAAGTGGAATTATAAAAAAAAAAAGAAAACCTTGCATAGATTAGGGTAAGACGATACAGTTGTTTCCATCTTCTCTAAGTGAAGGTGGGAAAAAATATAAAAAGTACTTTAAAGTACCTACTGGAATGTTGGCAAGAATTTCCCCTTCTCATGGTAAACAATAGGATTGGTCCAAAAAGCTTATCCTTGGTTCTGTATGGAATGATTTGGAAGCTTAGGTTTTCTGGGTGGAAAATTCTTCTATGCATGGAGAACAGAGAATACTGGAATATCCACAAATAAATGATTGTGAGGTAGATGTTAAAGATGTGAGTTTGAGTTGTCTGATAACACAACTTGACATGTGAAGTAGATGACCACATGAATGTCCAATTCTCAGCTCACAGGAAAGATTTACTTTCTAGATGTTAGATTTCTCTACGTAGTGGAATTAAATGAAACTTTAGGTATGGTTAATAAAGATGAGAGAGAGAAACAGTAGATTAGAAACTAACGTCTGACAATGTGACAAGTTTCTGTTGGGGATTTAAGTGGACTAAAATGCTGAGAAGTCTGTCTTGTGATTTTTTTTAATCCTTCAAACACATGTAAACTGAAATATTGGGTAAACATTTAAGTCTTTCAGAATAAAATTTAAAAGAAATAGTTCATTGTGATCCAAATTCTAGTTGAAAATAAACTTGTAAATTCTAGTAGTGTCTTTAATGTATATGAACGCGCTCAGAAATAGAATTTTCTAAGATGCAGATGTATATACAATATTTAAGTTAATCTTCATCAAGTGTCATGATCCACTACACAAAATAAAGAATGTGAAGTTGAAGATACCAGTAAGAGTAAGCATACTCTTTTTAAGTTTGTATCGTAATTTAGTGATTATACTTCTTTTTTTAGATAAAAGATTTATTTATTTATTTATTTATACAAGCACTGGGTACAGTCAGAAACACGGGAGGTTAAGAGAATTCACCAGAGCCAGAGGGGAGAGCAGAGCAGGCCGACTGATGAAACACACTGCTGAGTGGAGCAGCGGGCTGCAGGAGAGGTCTGCACGCCATGTGGGACCCTCGCTCAGCAGTCGGGGATCAAACCAGCACTGCAGAGGCTGCGGGCAGCTGTGCAACCCAGCGCTCAACCGCTGCGCAACCGGGGAGGCCCTAGTGATTATACTTTTCTATATGAATACAGTCTGTATAAAGTGTAGGCAGCAGACAAAATTACCTAATTTCCAACTAGTATTACTTAATTTTTAGTGATTTACAATTTTATTGGGGTATATTTCATTTTTTATATTTTATATTGACCCAGTATACATGGAGATGTGTGTGTTCATTTTCTCATTTACTTAAACAGCTCTGAAACTGTTGCCAGATGTTGGTATATCCTGCTTTCTGGATCTGTGCTTATGAAAGACTCCATGGTCTTGCCTCCTTGCAGGTACGTTTACATTTATTGCTTAGTACATGTGTCAGGTATAGTTAATGTTACACCGGTGTTATCTGTTACATTAAACTATGTAGTAAGAATGTATTTTTTTTTCAATAGGTGATGCATTTTATAAGTCTTTGCTTATTGGTACTGCTAGAAATACTGCACAGATATCAACTGAGATTTCATATTTCTGAGCATATAATCTTTACGTTTACATCATAACACAGTATGTTAATCCTGTTTGGTCTCTAGTTTTATGTGAGGTTTGATCTGATTTAAATTACAATTCTTTAATGCTGTGAATGGTTATAAGAGGCAGTCTGTCTTAATGGTTAAGATATGAATAGTCAAGAAATTGTTTTTTTTTTTAGAGTAGACAACCTTAGTTAGAATCCCTATTATATGATAGGATATATTTTAGTTTTCTTGTTTTGAAAATGAGAGTAATAGTAGTACCTGCTTATGTGTTTTCATAATGTTTACCAAACTGCTACTCGGAGTTCTTAGTAGAAGTTTGTAAAAATTGATACTAGATCCAGACTGTGAGTGCTGTTACTTCTTCAGGAAATTGCTTAATCTCTTGCCTCAGTTTCCTCATTTGTAGAGTGGGGATACTAATAGATACTATTTTACAAGCTAGTTTTGAGGAATAAATAAGTTAATCTAAAGCTCTTACAATAGTGCCTGACTGTTACAAATAATTGTTAATTATCACTATCATATTATTGCTTAAAAGAAGAGATGGGCGCTTGCGAGATGGTCAAATACATTATTGTTAAGAGATTGTGGTCTGTTAGTAATCTGTAAGATTTTGGGGCTTCAGATTGTGATTTGGTCAAATAAAAATATAATTTTTTAGTGACTCCTTTCCAAAAATGTTGAGATTTTTTAGGCTTGTAAAGTCAAACTTGCAATTGCAGCTAAGTTAATTTAGAGAATATGTTAGATATAGACCAATAGGTAGTAGAAACATTTGCTAGGTTGCCTTGGGCCAGAGTTGGTCTATCATTGGGTCAAGGCTAGTAAGAAGGGTACCACTGTGCAGGATTGGAGTCAAAGACCTCGACCCCCCGCTAGGTGTGCATTGGCCCTGAGGCTGGGTACAGGACCTCCTTTTTACACACACACACACACACACACCCCCACACACACACACCCACACACCCCAACACCCTCACCCTCTATTGACTAAACTTTAGTATTTCCAGCTAGCAGGACAATATTAAGTAAATCAGATCCTTTACTACAAAGTAGATTTGAAAGCTGAGAGCCAGTACATTTGGAGTCTAAAGGCAATAAAATAGCTAGTATCATCCATTCCCTGGACTTCAGTCCAACGACAGAATCTGTTTCACCTAAGAAGATAAAGTTATCCTTCAGATAAGTGAGGATATGAACATTCTCAACAGTCATTACTGACTGTATTATATATTATACCTCTGAATATTGTATTAAGACTATCTTGTAAAAACCATCTCCAGCAACTTGTATGTAAAATAAATATGGGGAAGAAAGAGAAGAAGAAAATACAAACCTATACAATTAAAGAGAAAATATGAAAAGACTCTACTTATTTTCTGTGATTGATCTTAAGACTGTGTAGTTGATGTCTCTGATTTCTACCCTTTCAGTATTTCTGACCTCAGTCAAAATTTCAGCTGTCCCGCATACTTTACCTAATGGTCGGAACAAAACCATTTTTGAAGGGTCCTCAGTTGTCCTCATGCTTTTCCCCCTTCATTTTTTTGTTGTTGCTGTAGTTTTCCATTAATCTTTAATAGTTGATACGGAAGTACTACAAGAAACCAAAGAAAATCCCTTGGCCTGCAAACAGTCTTCCTGCCCCTGATTGTGTAAAGCACTCATTGTCTTGTTGGTGATGGGGATTGATCACTTAGGCTATCAGAGTAACAGCTTTTCCTGACTGTTGGTTCAGTGATCAGTTGGAAGTCCTACTTCACAAGAGCTGTTGTTGTGTTTCCCGATAGAATCCATCTTTTTGTGGGCACTTACACTCAAAAACAGCAGAATTTAAAATTTGGGGAAGGGGAAGCAAAATTTTATGAATGAGTTACTAGGTATGGCAATGAGAAGAGCCATTTCTGTCCCATGCCATTAATACCATACCCATGTATTCTCACTTTGAGGAGAAACAAACCATTGCAATACTTGAGTTCTATGATGGAAAACAATGCTTATCTAAAGTAGCAAGACAACATTAGATATTTTGTGGATAGTGATACTAACAGACGCTTTATGGACAAGAAAGGCAAATCATTTCCAGTTATGAGTCTGTTCCAGTGAAGATAAATATCTGCCCTTGGATGACTAACTAGTATGCTTGAGGAATGGTCTCATATGAGGATCAATGTTGATCTCTACTGTGGTAGATTATGTTCCCAACAATAGCATTGGCATTTGACACTCTGCATATTCTCCATCTTTGTCACTGTGACCATTTCATGCAGGGACCAAGTGTGCAAGCACTGGAGTGACTCCAGAAAAAGATTGGTTGTCATTTTGTTTCCTTTCCAGTGGGTTCTCTTTGGTCATTCATATGGAAGATAGCTATCCTCTGAATGAGGTCCTTCCTCATAACTCTTCCAAGACTTCCTTTTTGCCAATTTTCTGTGCTTTTTCCCTCCAAGTTCCTGACCATTCAGCCAAACCACTAGTAAGTGCCAATGGATCTGTTTGCAGCAATATTTCTGGCCATCTCTCAAACAATACAGACATATGTCAGGCACTCATCTAGTCATTGGAATTGGGAAAAGTTATATTTAGATAGCACTGTGCATAGCACTATCCACTTTCTGAAGACATAATTACTCAAATAATTTTTTGAGAAATTCTTACCTTTCTAAATTCTTACCTTTCAAAGTCAAAGCACTAAGTACTTAAGAAGTGTCCCACTTTCATTGTCATCCACATCATTCAACCTATTTGCATAAATAAGTAACCACCTTTTTCAGTATTTTGCATGTCTTTACAGTGTTTTTTTTAGTACATATGTAAACAAAAATACATCTTCTTGTTTCTCCTATTATTGATCCAAATAGAGAGTTTTAACTCTTGCATTGCGAAATAAATTTGGTAGGATAGTGAAGATAAATGTACATGTTAATGCTACTCTAAATCAAACATTTCCCTAATCACTACCTGATCAAGAAATTGAACATTGTCAGTACCCTTGAAACAGCCTCCTTGTCTTTTTTTCTCAAATTAGCTCTCCTACTCCCCCCAAAGAAGATCATTTGCCTAAATTTTAGTCAGTCTGGAGTATCTGTAGAGTTTTAACCTGAGATAATGTTGCACACCTAAACACTGTAGTTCTGTTTACTTTTGAATTTAAAATGATTGTAACTATATAGTATTATTTGGTGTCTACTCTGGGCCATCATGTTTGTAAGATTAATTCATATTGTTGCATGTAGTTAATTCATTCTCATTGATTTAGTACTTCATTGTTAATTTTGGACTATTTAAAGTAAAGCAGCTGTGACCCTTCTTGTACATTAGATGCATACATGCATGCATTTATGTATGGTATACCTAGCAAAAAATTGTTGGCTGACCAGAAGTGCCTGTATTCAGCTTTAATTGTGCATTTTAAGGTGTGTTCCGAAGTGGATGTACTAATTTACACATCTACCAGCAGAATATGAGAATTCCTCTTCCATATCCTCACCAACAATTAGCGTTGGCAACTGAAAACAAAATTTTTTTTTAAGATTTTATTTTATTTATTTATGTATGCAAGAGCTGGGGCATAGGCCAGAGGTGCAGGGAATGAGAAGATTGAGTAGCAGTGAGTAGCAGAACAGGTGGACTGACTGAATTACACTGCTGAGGGGAGCAGCGGGCGAGACTGGAGAGGTCTGCCCTGCCATGTGGGTTAGCTCCCTGGCTAGGGATTGAACTAATGCTGCAGATTAATGCTTCAGTGGCCCCGATAGCTGCCCATAGACTTAATCCCTTGTGCCACCAGAAACACCCCTGGAAATTTTTTTTTGACTGTTCAATTTCAGTTATTCTGTTGAGTACACATCTCATTATAGTTTTTGACTTACATGTTACTAACTGCTGATGAGTTGAATAAATGCACATTTAAATAGTCTCTTGTGAAGTGCTTCTTCACATATGTTTCTCATTTTTTTTAATGTACTGTCTTTGTTGAGACTTAGAAATTCTTTGTATGAGTAAGAATCCTTGTTTGGTTATTTTTGTTGCAAATATCTTTTCCCCAATCTGTACCTTGTGATACTCTTTTAGTAATGTATTTGTATAAACACAGTTTCCTAACTCTAGTGTAGAACAATTTAGTGTTTTAGTTTTGTCTTCAGAACTATTTTTGTGCCTGAGGTAATGAAGATCCTTTTCTTTATTTTCAGAACTTTTCTTGTTTTACTTTAACATTTGTATCTATAGTCTACTTAGAATTGATTTTTGAGTCAAATATTGTTGAGTGAAGATCAAATCTCAACAGTAGTTAGAGATGATCAGAGTGAGGAGGACTCAAACCTGGGAAGCAATCTGACAGATTTTTGCTCTGAGAGCTGTTCGACTGAACACAAGTTGGAATTTAGTTTATGTAGGTAAGAACAATGAGTCATTGACAGAAGAATGTAGTAATTCTTGATAGGGGTTTCTAGGACCTAAAGTTATACTGACGCTAGAGGAATGCAATGCAGTATTTAATTTTTTCCTCGTTAATGAATGCTCTGCTGTGATGCAAAGGCTGGATAGAATTATTAAATCTTTTTTTTTCTTTTTTTAATCTGAAAAGACTTACTTTACCTTCAGGCAGCAGATTTCTGCACATAGGATGGAGCCTGCAGGATGGCTTTACTCTCTTGCCTCCTAGACCTGGGGAATCGGATTGGGGAGCGGTGGTCTCCAGAAAATTGTACAATATACTGGTGTTGTGTGGTTTACCATGTGGGTTCCTGTTTGTCCTTTACCAATCTAATTCAATGCTGCCTTTTCCATTTGCACCTATTTGTGTA